TGGTTTTTTCACTTAATAATATATCCTAACAATCATATCATGTAAGTTCACAGGGCTCCCAGTCATTCTTTTTTTTTCTTTTTGGCTGCCTAGTATTCTATTGTATGGATGTACCATTGTTTGTTCAACCATTTTCTCAAGAATGGGCATTTGGATAGTTTCCAATGATTTCCTATTGTAAATATGCCTTTAAAAAACACCTTGTGGCTGGTCTTGGTGGCTCACGCCTATAATCCCAGCACTTTGGGAAGCTGAGGCAGGTGGACTACCTGAGCTCAGGAGTTTGAGACCAGCCTGGGCAACACGGTGAAATCCCATCTCTACTAAAATACAAAAAATTGGCTGGCGTGGTGGCGTGCACTTGTAATCCCAACTACTCACAAGGCTGAGACAGAATTGCTTGAACCGGGAAGGTGGAGCTTGAAGTGAGCCAAGATCGCGCCACTGCACTCCAGCCTGGGCGACAGAGCGAGACTCTGTCTCAAAAAAAAAAAAAAAAATCACCTTGTACGTATCTTTCCATATTTGTGAATGAGCATCTTCTGGATAAATTCCTAGAAGTAGGGTTGCTGGGTAAATGTGTATGTAGCTTTGTTAGATGCTGCTAACTTCCTCTCCATTGAGGGTGTACTACTGGTTTGTACTCCTGGCATTGATTATGCAACCTAGGTAGACCTTGCTATGAGGTGTTCTAAGCTAAGACTTTCCTTGAACCTAGCTGAGAGTCCTTGACCTTCCTACCAATAAACACACTGCTCCAAACTCCCTCTGCCACACCCCAAGTGAAGTGGCAGAAAGGCAAGAGGAAGGGGGTCTTATTAATCCCATCCCAGTTCATCTTCCCTGAGTTGTCCCAGGGGTTTGTGCATGAAACTTGGGAAACTAGAGCAGAGGTGAGTGATGAGGCTGAGGATCTCAGGCAGACAGGAACTGGGGTGAGGAAAGGTAGAAATGGGGGCTCTGCCCCTTGGCACCTATGTTCTCAATCCTTTTCTTTCCTTCGGCCTCTCCACTATCCCTTCACACACAGACTGCCTCTCAACAGCCTCTTCTCTGATCTGGGGCCCTTGGCTCTGGTTCTCACTAGATCCTGCCTGGTTTCCCTCCTCAACCCAAGTTGGTGTAGGCTGAACACAGAGGACTGGCTTAAGGTAGAGGCAGAAATAGAAAGTCTCTGTCATTTCTGTTTTAACATGTGCGGAGGAAATAAGTCAGTGGAACAAGAATGGCTCACACAAGGGAAAGAGGAAAGAGGACACAAAGAGAGATACTGGCAGAGGAAGCCAAGGGCAAAACATTCCACACAAGCATTTTGGACTCCAGCCTCAGGGCCTGCTCTAATCCTATGACCTGTAGAAAAGGGGAAATGAGTGGAGAAAGGTTGTCATCCCAGTCTGACAAGGCAGAGGCCTTGCTTTTCTCATCGCTCTTTCCTTCTCAGCCCTACCCACCAAATACCGACTGGGATGATAGGAATCAATGCTTATCTAAGAAACAGGGAGCTGGACTGCATAGGGAGCCTTGTTTGAGAGGCACCCTTTGGGGGAAGAATTCAGATTGCCTGAAGAATCCTTCCAGAGAAGGATAGTTAAGACTCTGAGTGGGGTGTTCCCCTTCAAGGTCAGATTGCTAATCTAACCTTGGAGTTTGGAGCTAATCTAACCTAAATCAAACAGTTTTTTAGGGGTTTGGCTAACGGGTTTTGTCTTGGTCATTCTGGGGACTAAGAATGAACAAGATTCTTTCTTCTCTCCAAGGTTTAGTGGGTCTGCAATGCTCTGTCCTAGTGGGCAGGGCTGATCCATGTCTTTGGGTGCTGGGTCCAAGGCCAGGAGCATTGAAAAAAAAAAAAAAGAGAGAGAGAGAGAGAGAAAAGTGCCCATCGGGGTTTCGGAGTTTTGGAGAGAAGCTAAATTCTTGAATAAGAGGCAGTTTGCAGTGGAAGGCTTGACCTGCTGACAGGTGGCAGGGAGCAGCCCAGCCCCTGTTCCTCTCAGGACCTCGGGTCAGTGGGAGTGGGGAAGAGTAAAGCCTCCCGATATCCTGGCCCAGGACGTCCAGCCCCTACACACCACCTTACCTCTTCCAGCACCCACACCTTCGGCAAATTCTAACCGCTCTCCTTCTGCCCCTAACTGGGTCCTCTCATTTTGATTTTCTTCTGACGAAGACCACAGCAATGTGACAAATCTGCCTAGCCACGCCCTGTCACCTCTACCGTGGAGAGCAGGCTTTTCATTGTGCAGAAGGGAAACTGGAGGCCAGACGGAGGGTTAGGAACTCGCTGGCATCAGGCTGATTCCAAGGCCCCCTAAACTGCCCGTACTTCTCTCAATGCGCGTTGACCCAGCGCTCTAACGTCCCAGGCTCTGTGCTGGGCGCTGGGAGTCCCAGGGGTAAGACAGGCTGTGCTCCTTTGACTTGACATTCAATCCAGAGACTTGGTGGTAAATGGAAGGGAGAAGGGTCTGAGGCTCGGCACGACCTGGAAGGCAGGAAGCCTCCGTTGGCAGCTCAGTTCGCATTCTCCACGGAGTTCTCAGACTACGGCAGAGCCCGGGAGGGTGGAGCCCAGCAGCGGAGAGGCTGGCGGGGCGGGGTCGCAGAGGCCGCGGAAAGCAGAGGGGCCGCGGGGTTGCGCAGTCGATCCCGCCCCGAGCCCCGGGGGAAGGGCTGAGACTGCGGGAGCCGATTCCCCGCTTTGGCGGCGACCCTAGGCTCAAAGCCGCGGCAGCAGGCAACCCGGTGCGCGCTAAATAACGACCTCACGGAGAAGCAGTCCCTGAGCCCGTCAACATCGACCCCTAATCAGATTACTGAAAATAGGAAGGCCGGCTGCAGGAATAGTGACACTCTGGGCCCCCACGATGGGAGGCCGCGGCGGAAGCGGCGTGATTTTCGGGGTTGCACCTCAGCAAGATGGTGGCAGGGAGGATGGGACTCCCGAGGAGGAGCAAAGAAATGGATCCCCTCCCTCCAGAACACGGGCATTGATTCTGTCTTGGGGCCCCTGCCCACTGGGGAAGGCCTCATTCCCTTATCGACCAGAATACAGGTAGGGAAGAGTCCAGCCAATGGGGTGCAGTCAGATCAATTAACACCTCAAAATGAAAATCGGTTCCTGTTGCTTCCTCAGCCGCGAGATGAGCTCTCCTCTAAGTGTTTTGCTTCCTTCTCCCCCAGTTTCTCAGCTGTAGCCTTTACCACTCCTCCAAGCCCTGGCGCTGAAGGCAGGTGTTTCCTTTCCCCCAGCCTGATTCCCACAGATCTGTCTGCTTCAGGGTTTAGGGCCCACCTTCCAGAACACGGCTTACCAAGCTGCCACCATCCTTCCTGCCCCTCCCAGAGTCTGCTCCCCAAGCCACCACCCTCAGCCAAGGAGGGTAACTCAGCTCATGGGCTAGGAGGCCTCTTTCCCTCCCCTTCTTCCTAAACGCTCCTGGCCCAGCCCCTCCTCACCCCCAGGCTCCTTTCCTGGGCCTGGCCCAGCCTGGAATAAGCTTGGTCTCCTTCCTCCAGGTAGAGGGCCCAGAGTGAAGGGGGCATAGGAGGGCCTCCAATGAGAAGCCCTGGAGAAAGGGCAGCTTGGGGAGGGGCTTAAGGAGCAGGGCGAGGGTCTCTAGACTACCTGCCAGACTCCTCACCCAGAGGAGGGAGCACTACAGAATGGGATTTTGTTTCCCTTCCCTCCCCAACTCCTTTCCCCTCCCCACAGGGGCCTCAGTTGAATGCCGGCCTATTGCTTCATCTGACATTCCCCCTGCCCGGCCAGCAGGCGCCGGCATCATGTCTGCAAGTTATTGTAAGTCCGGCAGGAATGCCCAGGAGGGAGGTGCCTCTGGCCAGCAGAGTGCCCACTCCCCTCCCAAGATGTGGCTGGCCACTCCTGCACCCTCCACACCCAGTTGGAGAAGAGCGGCGGGTACCCTCAGGGAGGTGGAGGAGTGTATGAGGCCAGACTTGACTCGGGGAAGGATACCAGCAGCCCCCTCTAGCAAGAGCGAACCAAGTATGTAAGAGAAAGAGAGAAGGGAGAGCAGGAAGGACAATCCCATTCTTAATTCCTAGCTCTTCAGCAAACCAAGGAAGTGACCCAAGATGCTCAGGGACCCTTCCACAGATGCCTGTGGCCCACCCCGTCTGCCAAACACTCACCAGCCCCACAGTCTCCAGCCTTGAAATCGGAAACTTTTCAATTCACCCTTCTCCTTCCTCCCCTTTGGGACCAGAGATGTGTGGGGCGGTGCCCTCGGAGACACTCATACAGTTGGTTCTGGACGCTCACACACTCTCAAACAACAGCGGTACGAGGGAACTCCCAGCTTTTTCCACAGCTAATTATAGATGTGAAAGTCTGAGGATGTTTTGCAAGCAACACAGAGAAACTGCTTAGGTTTCTCTGCAAAGCTAAAGAAATTTAATTTGTGCACTCTCCTTCCCCCACTCCTCCCAACTTCTCCCAGCCCACCTCTACCGCATGGCCCCAAAGTGCCCCTCTCCTAGTTCCCGCTGCAGCCCCCCTTTCCTGCCGAAGATTTCTTTAGTTCCTTTTTTTTTTTTTTTTTCCATCTCTCTTTTGGGCTTTTGAGAAAGGGAACAGACACGGAAAATATTTTTGCAACAGTTTTCCATCCTGCGTCTCATTCCCAAGCCAAGGGGGAAGGGGAGGGCAGGAATGGAATGGGTTGAGGGAGGGGAGATAAATGTTTTTTCCAAGAGTTCAATTTTGGTGTCAAAAAGAGAGTCCCTCCATTCCCCTACCCCATAGCACAGGAATGACAAGAACTAGGAAAAGAGAGATAAATCACTTATTTGACTATACAGTTTCTCAGAAAACAGTATTTGACAAATCTGTGCACACACACATATTTTTAAAAATCCTCCAAACCCAGTCGCATGAAATATGCTAGAAAGAGGAAAATCGGGGAGTTTTAGAAGCCACTGAGAGAAAAGAAAGAAAGTTTGCAAATCACCAGTCAATTCATTCTCTGCAAGCCTACCTCTCTTTCTAGCAAAGATCCAGGTTTCTCCAAGTGGGACTCTCCCTCCGGGTTTCCATGGATGGGGGTAGGGTGGGGTGACCACCCACCAGTCTCCCCAGTGTGGCAACCAAGCTGGAGACGCTGGCTTTGCTCTCTTGCCTTTCCGGCTAGGGCCGGGGAGTGGGCTGGGTCTCCTCCCCCTGCCCTTCCAATGGGAAGGACCTCTCAGGTTCCTGAAAGAAAAAGGGTGCAGGAGAGCTGGACGGGTGTCTCTGATCTTGCTCTCTTCAGAGGGATGGTTCCCCAGGAAGTTCGTGCCCCCCTCCCAGCCCCCAGCGTTGGACAATCTCAACAGCAGAGCTTTCTTAAGAAAATGCTTGTCATGGCAACAGCTCTAGCTAACTCGGGCCAGACTCCTGCTCACCAGCTCTCCCCAAGCAGTGCGGGAAGAGAGAGGGGAGGAGCAGGAGCTGGAACAGAGGTGGGACTTGGCATGAGGCCAAACCATTACTCTACTGTTAAGGTGGCCCGATTCCTGCGGTTGCTTCCTGGTTCGTCTTAAGGGGGAATGGGGAAAGAAAGGGAAGGAATCCTCTCCCCTGTCGGCTTTCTTCCCCACCCTTGCTCTCACTTGTTGAATAGAAAGCTGAGTGGGGTGGAGGAGGGGTGAGGGTGGAGGTGGGGAGTGGATGTGGGTGGCGGTATTCAACGGTTGCTGGGCGGAGGGGAAAAAAAAGGAAGCTTCGGCAGGCGGTTGGCTTCCTGCAGCTCCTATGGGCCTCTCAACCCCTTACTCACTTAGATCCAGGACCCAGAAACCCAAGGTGTCTGTGGACACTTGTATGTCCCCTCCTACCTTCCTGCTCCTGTCTGAATAGGGGGTTCCTTGGAGAAGGAGAATAAATTGTTTTGTAAACACACACACACACACACACCTCTTCCCCGACACCTTATATACAGGTCACATTTTGTTCCCTCTTGCCCCTGTACCCACCAGAGGTATACTGACAGTGCATGAAAATAGCTGCCTACTTTTGAGTCCTGCTATGCGTAGGCTATGACACCAAAAGCTTTGTCTATACGATATCATTTCTAGTCCTCATGGCAATTTTGAAAGGTACTTGTTATTAGCCTCATTTCCTAGCTGAGGAAATTGAAGATTCAGTGTCTGGCCCAAGGTTATACATCTGGTTCATGACAGAGCCAACAATTCAAGGCCAAGTCAGACGGACTCCAAAGCCCAAGTACTTTCCTGTACTTGTATCATACTCCGGCACACATTTCTGTTTTAATTTGAACACACTCAGACATCCCTGCACACTTATACACAGCCTGTAAACTGTTAATCACAGCCCCATACCCACACACCCACTAGCATTGTGCAACAGTGCCACCCATAGATTTTGCATAGAACTTTATGGCTTTCAAGCACAAACATGCACCATCAGCTGGTTCACACAACAACATATCTTCATTGACTGACAGATTCCCACACCTACCTCAGCAAACACACTCATGTTTATATGCTTGTGGAAGGCGCGTTGACATATATCTCACAGGTTATAGCTATGAGCTATGCTGTGAAGAAGGTGACTGGCCACTACTTCCCAATCTTTTAAACAGAGGGTTGGGAAAAGGCCTCTTTGATCCTATCATTCTAACCCAACACCTCACACCACCCCTGTCCTTCTTTGCTGTCATCCCTGCCCCCAAGAAGCAGAGCCACACGCACATGGAGAAACAGAGTTGTGAATTAGACCCAGGGGTTCAGTTTCCCCTGTGTCCAATTAGCACCCTTCCCAATGTTCTCTCATTTGGGTCCTCTTTTTCCTCTTCATTTTCTTACCCTGCTATTTCTTTTTTCTTTTTTTTTGAGATAGAGTCTTGCTCTGTGGCCCAGGCTGGAGTGCAGTGGCGTGATCTCGGCTCACTGCAACCTCCGCCTTCCGGGTTCACGCCATTCTCCTGCCTCAGCCTCCCGAGTAGCTGGAACTACAGACGCCTGCCTCTACGCCCGGCTAATTTTGTTTTTGTATTTTTAGTAGAGACGGGGTTTCACCGTGTTAGCCAGGATGGTCTCGATCTCCTGACCTCGTGATCCGCCCGCCTCGGCCTCCCAAAGTGCTGGGATTACAGGCGTGAGCCACTGCACCCAGCCAGTAATGTTTTTAGACTGGTTGGGCTGGGCTCAGAACTCAGAGTTCCTCAATGTGAGGCTGGAGATTGCCTGCTATCATCTGAAAACACAATCCAAAATAACCCTGGCTAGGGTCAGTGGCTCATCCGTGTAATTCCAGTACTTTGGGAGGCTGAGGCGGGAGGATCACTTGAGGCCAGATTTCAATACTAGCCTGGGCAACATAGCAAGACCCACCCCATCTCTACAAAAAAAGTAAGAGAAAAAAAATAAGCCCCTGCCTGTGCTTGTGCCTCTCCCTGCCAGCAGCTGAAGAAAGTTGCAGGAGTAGGGGGAGATTTTAGGGCCACCCTCCATGGAAACTGTGGGTTGTTTAGTCCTTTTTGCCTAGTGATTGACCCTCCCACCCTCAAGGCACTTACAGGACTCCAAAGGTGACCTTTGTTCTCATTTCAGCCTCTTGCAACTCCACTGGTCACTCTCACCTTCCCAGGGCATTTCAAGAACAGAGTTGGTACCTTGTTAGATTCCTTCCTTCCTCCCTCCCTCTTCCCTCCCTCTTCCTTTCCCTCCCCTCCCCTCCCCTTCCCTCCCCTTCCCTTCCTTTCACCGTTTCTTTCTCCTTCCTTCCTTCCTTCCATCTCCCTTCCCTCCTTCCCTTCCCTTCCCTTCCTTTCTTTCTGTCCCTCCCTCCCTCTGTCTCTTTTTCTTTTCTCTCTCTCTTTTTTCCTTCCTTCCTCTCTTCCTTCCCTCCCTCCCTCCCTCCTTCCTTCCTTCCTCTCTTCCTTTCTCGCCCCCTTCCCTCCCTCCTCTCTTCCTTTCTCGCCCCCTTCCCTCCCTCCCTCCCTCCCTCCCTCTCTCCCTTCCTTCCTTCCTTCCTTCCTTCCTTCCTTCCTTCCTTCCTTCTTTCTTTTTTTCATTATAGGTCTCCCTGTGTTGCCCAAGTTGGTCTTAAACTCATGACCTCAAGTGATCCTCTCACCTCAGCCTTCCTGGAAACTGGGACTACGGACACACCCCCCAATGCACAGCACCTTTGTTAGATTTGGGTAGACCCTAGCAAAATGTCAGCTTCAGGAGCCCCAATCAGTTGTTGGGGAAGACATGAGAAAGAAAGGAAAAGAAATGAATCAGCCGAAAAGAGCTGCAGATTTAACGGCTTGTCAGGCTCCCTGCCGGATGGCACCAACATGACATTTTAGCACCAATGAGTGTCAGTTGCATCTTTATCATAAGTAAGCCAGTCTCTGAAATGACTCTTTAAACGTATTAAAGTATATTTTAAGCTCGTCCGCAGTGGCTGTGTGTGGAGGCATTGCCTAACTGTTCAGTAAACTTGTCTTGGGGGAATAACAATTTAGGCCAGATGTATGGTCCCATTAAAGAAGAAGTCTGCTTTGGCTGCCTGTTTTGTGGGGACTGGGAAATGATACCCTTTCATAGCTGGTTATTATTGGAAAGGTAAGATCCTCCCCTCAAGCTCCCTGGATTCCAGCGAGAGAGGCTCTGCCTGGGAGGTGCTGTCAAAAGAGGCTCTGATGGCTATCCCACCTCTGGCTGGCGAGGATTCAGGGCAGGCCAGGATGATGACTTTCAGGGTGGCTGCAGGTCCTCCCCTTGACCGACTGTGGGGTTGTGGGATGAGAAAAAAGGAATCCCCTTCCCACTCCATTCCCACCCCAGCTCTGCTGCAGACACGAGGGAGGTATGTTGTCCCCAGAGGACAATGTGACCCCAGAGGAGCCGAGTGGACCGTAGCCTGGTCTCTGTCACTGAGCTGACCACTAAGGCCTGTGTTTTCTGGAAAGTTAGAAGCCTCAGTGCTTCGCTTCTTGCAGTGGCAGGTTTGAGGTCTAGAACGGGTAAAAATAAATCTATCCATAAAAATAACCACTAGATGTGGGAAAATGGAGTTGGCCCCGCTGGGGCAAGAAGGAGGACACTGCCTCTGGCATCAGAAGTTCATAGTCTGCATGTTCTGCTCAGCTCTGAGCAGTCCTGTTTCCGTCTTCTCGCAGCCGTACTCTTGACTTTACAGGTTCCTGTTCTTTAGGTCTAGCCTGGCTCTCCTCAGCCTCCTGTCCTCCCCATAGCAGGTCAGTCTCTACAGGGCTTACATCACTGTGGACGCTGTCCCTACCCCATCTCTCACTTGAGGAAAATGCAGTCAGCACTGTCTCTCGCTTAGCTGTTTAACAGAATGTGTTCCTCTGCCTCTCGATGACTCCACCTTGAGTTTTCCAAATCTTCCTCACCATTTCCTGCACCTCCCCCAAATGCAGACTTCATGACTCCCTGTTGTGAATATCTACCGTTTTGCCTTGGCTAGAACAGCAGCCATTTTCCCCATGCCCGAACCCAGTTCTTTGGGATGTCCTTTTTTCTCACTGTTTTTTTTTTTTTTTTTTTTTTGAGACGGAGTCTCGCTCTGTCACCCAGGCTGGAGTGCAGTGGCCCGATCTCAGCTCACTGCAAGCTCCGCCTCCTGGGTTCACGCCATTCTCCGGCCTCAGCCTCCCGAGTAGCTGGGACTACAGGCGCCCGCCACCTCGCCCGGCTAGTTTTTTGTATTTCTTAATAGAGACGGGGTTACACCGTGTTAGCCAGGATGGTCTCGATCTCCTGACCTCGTGATCCGCCCGTCTCGGCCTCCCAAAGTGCTGGGATTACAGGGTTGAGCCACCGCGCCCGGCCTTTTCTCACTGTTAAGATGGAAGCTGGGCCAGGCCTGGTGGCTCATGCCTGTAATCCCAGCACTTTGGGAGGCTGAGGCCGTCGGATCACTTGAGGTCAGGAGTTCAAGACCAGCCTGGGCAACATGGTAAAACCCTGTCTCTACTAAAAATACAAAACTTAGCCGGCACGGTGGTGTGCGCCTGTAGTCCCAGCTACTCGGGAGGCTGAGGCAGGCGAATCGCTTGAAACCAGGTGATGAAGGTTACAGTGAGCTGAGATTGAGCCACTGTACTCCAGGCTGGGTGATAGAGTGAGACTCTGTCTCAATAAATAAAAAAAAAAAAAAAAATACAAAAAAAAAAAAAAAAAAATCACTGGGCATGCCTGTAATCCCAGGTACACAGGAGACTGAAGCCTGAGAATCACTTGAACCCCAGAGGCTGAAGTTGCAGTAAGCTGAGATTGTGCCACTATACTCCAGCCTGGGTGACAGAAAACAAAACAAAACAAAACAAAATCTCAAAAAACAAAACAAAACAAAAAACAATGATTGAAACTGACATTTTATTAGTGGTCCTAACTCCACCTGACCCAAGCTGAGCCAGTTACATCCTTTCCTGAGAGTTTTGCACTTACGATCA